AAATTTTGTATGAAGGTTGCGAAATTAAATAAAACTTTAAATTTAGCTTTGTTTTGATACTCTTTGTTGTATTGAAGTGTTCATGAATAATATTTAAGTGATATAAATAAATGGATACAACTAAAAAATAAAGCTATGAATATATGAATAAATGAACTGAAAGTTAGAATTAACAAATAATGACTTATTTTAATAACACTGTGGCATCCTGTTTTATTTTATTGAAGAACTGTCCTGAAGAAGTAAGATACATATCACATCCTCGCTGTGCTCTCTAGGGGAACATTTTCTTGAATGGCATAACCTATAATTCGGATAATATTCATTTACTACTTATTTATGAGCTTTTATGATGTTCCTGAGGAGTTCAGGAATCGTTAAAAATAAAAAAAATACCGAGAATGAGTAGCAGAAATCGCTTTATATTATATATAAAATCGCGCGAATATTCCACCTTTTCGTTATTATTGCAAACCAAAAGTACTAATACAGATGAACTTTTAATATGCGATTTTTTTCATTAATAATGAATTATTCTGAATTTAGTCACATTACATTGATAAATATCTATAAATTGGTTTCCGAACCAATCCTCTTTCAAAGGATCCTAAATATAAATTTGTACACTTAGTAAATGAAGGTTATGGGCCCGTTTATATCCGGAAAAACTACAGGGTTTTTAAAAGTATGAGAGAAAAATATTGTAGAACAAAGTTGAAATATTTGCAAAGGAATGCCCATTGGTGTTCTTGAACGAGACTACCACCAAGATCATTTGAAGGTCAAGACAGTTTCTAAATTAAACCCTTATTTTTGACACCGGAAATGCAGGGAGTGGGGAATTTTAGTTTTGAAATATGTCTTGGCCTATGACATTGACAAATATCTCGAACAATATTTTTCATACAAACAAAAGTTGTACAGCTGTTACCTTCAAGCTCATTTGAAAGGTCAAGAGAATTTTCTTGAATGAAAACCCCTATTTTTTACACCGGAAATAAAATGAGCAAGAATCTTTATGTTTGAGTCCTTGCCATGACCTTCAAGTGCATAAAGAGCGGAGCCGCGGATTCAGTCTAAAGGTATGTAAAAACGGTTAGTTTGCACCGCAAAAATATTTAAGAATGTGAATTAATTCCGTTCATTCCCAGTGTGCGCCGCATTCCGTGTAGGTAAACCGGACTGTTTGTTTATGAGTCAAACTTGAAAATCGGCAAATAGCACATTCCTATAGGAATAAATTGAGGAATATGTTCAAACAGTATTTATAAGCAACATGTGACAGGGAGTACCGCAAATTTCTTATCCAATGAACAGAGAGTACCTACTCTCTTAACTTTTTTCGTTGCTATTTTACTGCATATTAG